TTTTTCCTTTATTTTACTGTGTGTGAATAAATATCAGCGGATCTGAAATGGACTCTAAGTTGTGTTTAAGTCTCAATTACAGGCACGACGTGCACCCCTGTAAGTGGGTGTAACGAAATGACCAAATGAACCCTGGCGTTGATTGGTAATTACATTTCACGTCATCCTCGTCCGATAAATGCGCCCTAACATCTTTGCCCTACATGAAAAGTAAATAAATTATTATGTCATAATTATAAAAAAATATATATTATGTTACCAAGTATGAAGTACCAATGGTCCAATGTCATGTATTTATTTATATCTTACATTTTAATTTATACTAATCTTAAATTATATTTTTATTTTAAGTATGTATATTTGTCGAAAAATTGGAATTATAGACTTATTGGGCGAACTTATGGTTGTACACGAGTTGAATAACTAATAGTGTTGAGTGAACGGTTTCGACTTGGATTAGAGCACTTCGAATTAACGCTCGATCGCTTAATTTGTAAGCTTGATTGCTCGATGAGTCAATCAAATGTAGTTAAAGTTACATTAATGTATCTAGCTATACGTTTTTTTTTTTAAGTGAAATTGTTCAGCCTAACTCAAGAAAGATTGAGTCAATCACATTCGAATCAATCTCAAGTGGTTGGGTTTATTTATTGACTCGAGCATCAAGCTAAGTTGAGTTCGAGCTCAAGCAAATGTAAAATATAAAAATAAAATTGAGCATGACTTAATAAGGTCGATGTCCGGTTTGATCCGTCTGCAGTTATAGGCATGTCAATATATGCATATTCCCAAATATATTGATGTTAGATTGTCTATCTGTTAGTCACTCATATTTTTTTTTTTATAAAAAATATATATCGATATTATAAAAAAAATAATTTTTATTTTTATTATGCTTTGTAACATGACAATTCAATATATAAAAATATACATATTCATATTAATAAACTTTGTTTCTCTTCATATTAAACATAGGATCATGCTAAACATATTGTAATCTAGAGTTGACATAACACACACAT